CACCTGAACGAAATTTGCTGAACCATCATTGACACATATGAACATTCAAAACATTTCCATAAGCTTCTTTGATATTCTTTGTGGCTACAGAAGTGTTGTTTCTCTCCTTGTATTCAAACATCATTACATGCCAAATGTGTGTCTCATCATGTGCCATCACTATAAGGGATTAGAGTATACTAAATGTTACATGATATATAGGCTACACTAGTGTGATGTTTAAGCAGTTCATTTAACTATTATACATGATGTATGTATTTTGGGAGGTGGTTAATGAAAGTGTTCCAAAAAACGACATTAACTTCTTGATGGACTAATATATATCATCGGTTTTCATAAACAACAATGGTTGTGCTGTGAACCAGATTAAGCAAGTAAATTGTAATTATTATCAATTTTATAATGATTAGAAAGCATTAATGCACCAGTTGGGAATCATCACAGCTAGCAATATTTTTGCCAGCAATACCATAATTGAAAGTACACTGTTGGTAAATTAGAAATCTCAAATTATTTAGAATACTGTTATGTTTCTGTGTTCATTTGTTAATTTCCCATATAATTTCTTTCAGATGAAACTTTAGCGATACAAGTCCTTTCTTAAATAAAACTAGTTTATTCTTTCTCAATGCAACTTTGCAATACACTTAATTTCCACAGTCACTTTAAGTTAAACACACGCTATAATTCACAACGATTCACGCACTTTACTTACGGTCACTACCGTGCTTGACTCAATTGTCTGTCTCTGTCTGCAATTATCTCCCATCACTTTATTTGCCAGCTTATATACTAAAATAGAGGACGTGTAGAAAAGACTAGAGTTGTTGGGAACAGTAATGAACCTTCTAGAAACCCATGACGTGTTACCAGCATCACGTGAATACTGCTGTCGTAACAATACCTTACAAACAGTTATTTTGTACACATTACAAATGGAATAATTTTGTACACAAAGAATTGATTAGTTGTAAAATAACACTAAAATAATGAAAAGTGTGTAATTTTAGTGCACATGATCATTTACTATTGGTTCAAGTAGCTATCCAATAAGTGAACGTGATAGGGTAATTTATACAGACTTTAAGTTATAAAACGTTTTATCACAGACCAAAGTTATAACTAATATGGTAGTAGTAGTTGTTGTTTGTTATTAAGCACAAAGCTACACAAAGAGCTATCTGTGTTCTGCCAACCACGGGTATCAAAACCTGGCTTCTTGCAGTATAAGCCCACAGTATATGGTAGAAATTTTCAATCTTTAAAATAACTCTGGTTTAATGATTTTTCTTTTTGTGTACAACATTACTTGGCTTCAAATATCATTAAACTGTATTTACTATTTTTTAGAAGATTACACTTCTAACAAAATTTATGAAATGTCACTACAAACCTTTGCATATTAATCTTAAAACTTTTAAGCATAATTGAAAACCATTAACAGATTTGTATGTATTTTTACTTATTAGTAAGTAAATATAAAAATGTTTTTGTCACTATGAAATATCATGAACAAATGGAAATTTTCTTATAGATATGGCAGCAGGGACTACGAGCAATCACAAACAACATTAAAGCCATTAATGTTAGTCCAATGATTTTACTGAAAAAGCAGTAAGTAACAGTAGTTTTTATTCATAAAAAAAGAAAAGAAAATAGATAATAATAATCCATTCAAAGCAGAAAACAGTGTTAATTAAATGTAACCCTTTTGTTCTTAAAGTTGTAAAAAATATGAAAATAACCACAAACAACAGTAGACCATAGTCTAAAATATTAACTTTTCAAAATAGGTAACCTTATTAAGAGTTAACTGTTGTTTCATGTACATAGAATATTTTAAATTTAACAAATACAGTCCTTATTTTTGAATGTACAGGAAATTTGTGTAGCATTGTGATTAGTTTATTGATTAACTTTGTCTTTCATAAGACCTGAGCCTCTGATGTTTTATCTTGAATTAAGTTTACTTCTAGGTGTAAGATCAAATAGGACAAGATACAAAAGGTGAAGGGGAGACACACCTACCTTTCTTTGGATTTTGCAGCCAGAGGTTGCTGATTTATATGAAATTCACAAAGCCCATGGATAGTGTTCTTTCCGTCATTGTAACCCCTCCACCAGATGGAACTTCCTTTTCTTTTCAGCCTAATTTTCTATTATGATATCTCTGTCCTGCCTCATTATGCCATTGCTAGGTTCTTTTTGACCATATTTCCAGGAGGAGACATTTTCTAATTGCTTTATTGAGCTTTTATCATTCCTTTTTGAAACCAAGAAATGATACCAATATTCACTCTAATTTTGTACACATTGCTTTAACTAGAAACCTTAAGAAAGCTAATGAAACCACATGGAGGATTAACATTTTACTGGACTTTCACTATTATTAATTGTGTGGCCACTTGACAGTTTATTTTTAACTGATAGGTGTTTCTGAATTTTCATAGATCAATGCTATCTCATTCCTTCACATCGGAGCGTGAGCTTTGTCTTAAGTGTCATACTTTTAACATTAACATCAGTTCTGTCACTAACTAACTTCCTTCAATAGCTGCAAACAGCATCTATGTCAGTAACTTTTGTATTTCCTCTTAGTCATTAAATATGAGCTTTATAAAGCATCAACTCCAGACTGCTTTTAATAAACTGTGTGTATCAATTATTACAAGTGGTTTTAAAATGTCATCACCTAAAAACTGTTTGCATGTATTTTTGCCATAAACAAAAATTGAACCATAATTTCGAGCTTCATATGGAACTTGCAATAATTCCAGTGGTGGCTGAGAGTAAGATAGTTCTCAGGATTTGTCTTTTATCTACAAATAATGAAGACTGAAATCAAGTGTGCAAAAGCACTGCATATCCTCTCTTGCATTTCTTGGAAAGCAGATGGATGTTCCATGCCATGGATTTATCATGTTCTCATTTCCACTAAACTGGACTATAATTCTCTGGTCTGTGTCCCGACCAATAAATCTTAATAAGTTTTAACTTTTCAAGTAGTCAAAATATTGGCATTATTATTTTTTATTGTTATTTTCAACTAGTTCAAGGTTATTTAGCTTACTTGTTTAATGTCATGACTTGTGAAAATAACCTACTAATCGAAATTAGGGTTTTTCAATTATTATTATTTTTGACTATGCCAATTATCCAAGTCGTGTGAGAATAATTGATTAGTTGAATGTAATTTATTAATGATCCCAACAGTTAACTGATTATCAAATTTCACTGATTACTCAAGCCCGTTTGAGAAAGGAGGAGGGATGACTGTGGTGCTAGCAACTCCACGTCGTTATCCAATATTGCTAAAGAAACAACGAGAAGTAGCCATTACGGTAAACATAAGCAAAGAGGGGAAGACAACATGTCAGTTGCACAAGTTTGTGTAAAAACTAACATTGGGACCACAGAGTACTTTAATGTATACAGTGGAGTGAGACAAGGTTGTGTGTTATCTCCCTTTTTCTTTCTTTTGGTGGTAGATTTTGTCATAAAAAAAGCGATGAATGTTGGTGATGGGATAATTTGGGGTGATGGAACTTTAACTGATTTGGACTTTGCGGATGATATCGCTTTAATTGGGAAAGATAGACAGAACATCCAAGATATGACAAGGAATTTACAAGAGATTGCTAAGAAAGTTGGGCTTAGAATAAATGCTCCCAAAACTAAGACCATGACAGTCGGACACAATCTGGACAGGGCAGTAACGATTGAAGGATCAGAGATTGAAGATGTACAAGATTTCGTGTATTTGGGTAGTAAGATAGTGGCTAACGGAGAATCAGACATTGATGTTCAAGCAAGACTTAATAGAGCTACAGGTGTGTTCAATAGGCTTTGACCTATTTGGAACTCGACCACCATCAGAAAAGAGACTAAAATCAAATTATACTCCGCCATTGTAATACCTACAGCCTTGTATGCTAGCGAAACCTGGAGAAGAACAGCAGCTATGGAGAATAAAGTGAATCTATTCCATCGGAAATGTTTGAGAAAAATCTTACAAATATCATATAGAGATCATGTGAGAAATGAAGAAGTTTTGCAAAGGGCAGGCCAAAGGGACCTGCAAGAATCTGTTAATAAGAGAACAGGACATGTATTGAGAATGCCAGTATCAAGACCAGCAAAGAAATTCATGGAGTGGGTGCCGCTAAATTTGAGAAGGGGGAGAGGATGGCCAAAGAAGACATG